TGTCCTGGCCACAGAATGCACCCAAAGTACTAAGATCCAAGAAGAAAGTGTAAGTCCATGAATGCACACAAAAATTCCAGTACATCTAGCAGTGTTTTGACCCCTTGGCCCTGACCCACCCATAACCCTGATGACTATCCACAGGCCCAAGTGGATGACTATCCACTGGCTGCCCCAAATATCTGCCTTTCTAAGAATCCATAAGACGAAGCAATGCTTTGAGAGACACTTATCCTCACGGGTACTCACAGTTGCATGGGCTGCTTCTCAATAAAGATGGGTACCAGGCCTTCCTTTCAGCCCATGTTCCATACAGTTCAAAACCTAAGCTGGTTCTGAGGGAGACCCAGACATAACTGTTTCAAGTTGCCTAGTAAGTCTATGTAGAACCAAGGTTGAGAGTCACCAAATTAAGCCAATAAATGAAATCCAACCGTGGCAGAGGAAGAGGCAAGGAGGACACTTGGGAGATCTGGCCAGAACGGTCACTCTTCTCATTCCTAAACACTTGTCACCGGCTTCCTTCCAGGTAAGACAAGAGCATCAGGTTGCCTTCATCCCAGGATGTCTCTTCCTAAGTTCTCCTTTCCAAAATGTACGCAAAGTAGAGTTTTTTTTGGGGGGGATCCTGACTGTCGTTATACCTTGTGCTGCCCACCTTGGTTTTTACTGAAACATGGTCTCTCAGTAGCCTGGAAGTCACCACATAGGCAGGCAATCCCCAGGGATCTGCTTGTGTCTGCCTCCGCATTGCTGAGCCCACGTAGCCACTTACAAGGATTCAGGCTTGAACTCAGCGCCTGCGCTTGTGTGGGGAGCGCCATGTTAACACAGTGAAGCTCTAGAGCTTCTTCTCAAGTGGTCACTCAGCTCCACACAAGCGTGGGTTGAACAAGCTGAGAAAATGAGGGTTCAGGGCAGATTCAGAGTCTCAACAGCAGAGAAGCAAGAAGGAAAGAGGAAAAACTCAGAGGAGAAAGCTCAGGAATGGGAGGTAGGAACTTGAATACCTGGGAATTATAGAGATACAGGACTAGAAAGGCCAGGGTCAGGTCAGGGGCCCAGACATCACACCAGGAGTTCGGCTTTGCAGAGGCTCCTGAGGCAGAACCAGGTGGCTGGATTTTGCAAGGTGGAAAAGATCATTCTCTTCCATAAAGAATGGATATGAGTCAGCGATATGATTGACATTTGGGACACACAGCTCATGGGAAGAGGGAAAGAGGCAAACACCACTGTGTTATTCTCCTACACGCTGGAAAAGTACTGGGGTCATTTTAAGCCACAACAGGTAATGGATGAAGTACTTCAGGCTGAACCCCAGGTTCCACCCTAGCAAGTCAGCTCTTGAACTCAATCAGGCAACTGAGGCTCACTGACTTGGAAGGGTGTGCCAACCACCAAGAAACTTGGTGGGGACACAGAGCTCCAGGTCCCTTTGCTGGGATGTGGGGACACAGCACAGAAAAACATCAACAGGGACACCCCCTCTGCAGTGGCCTAGGAAAAGCCTAGACTTTCATTCCATACACTGCAGAATAAACATGGAACTCTCCATAAGACAAGTGTCCTTCAGAGCCCCAAGTCGGACCACCCTACACTAAACAAGGCAAGATAGAAAACAAAAGGGGGGGGTAGTTGGTCTTTTTCTGAGCCTGTAACTGTCAAAAGCTAATGCCAGAGGTGTTTGGTTTAAGTTCTAGTGATGCCACAGCCTAGCCTGTCAGGAATTGACTCAAAGGATCCCAAGCAGGACCCAGGCAGTTTTCTGAATGCAATGAAGGTCTCCTCCCTCCCTGCAGGGGATACTGCAATCGGTTTCCTTCCATCTGAGGCTGAATTCCCCCCAAACCCCATGTCCCTTCCCCAGATCCTACAGAACGGTAGAATTGTGTACCATGCCCTCCTCGGATATAGAGCTACGTAGACTGTTTCCTCCATTGAGAATTGGAAGCTGGGCAAACACCTGCCAGCCCCTTTCACATGCCAGTCAAGGGGGATTCCTTATTTTTGAACCAACAAGGCAGGAAGGAGGCCCTGGTGAGCACAGCACCAGCAGCAGCAAGTGATGATGGGCAGACCTGGACTGGGTCTTAAGCGAGAAGGCCTTTGCCAAGGGAAGGGCTGGCTAGGAAACACTCTTACCCCAGGGCCTTGTTTGGATTTGTTTCAGTTGGGCTTTTTCACCCCACCAAGGAGTGACAATACCAGCTCTGAGCAGCCGAGTGTCGACTTCTCAACAAAATCCAGTGCGGGAGAGCCCCCATGACAGGTGGTAGACCTCACAGCCCATTCTTTTCGAGCCCAGAGGATGAGCTGCCTTCCACTCCAGGCACACAAACTGGCCACACAACTGACTTCATTCCCAAAAACCTGGGCTGTGAGGCTAACCTTCAATTACAAAATTCCTTTCCAAATCAATGAAGCCCTTCCTGTAGCTACTTTTTTTTTTGAATTCCGCCCCCACATTCCCCCCAAGGTCATCATTCTAGCTGTACTTATTCTCCAAGCACTTTATCTTCCCACTGTTGCCATAGTAAGTACTTTTGCAGGTGGCAGTCGCTGAACAAAGGGTGACCTGTGACAGCCTGCTTGGCCGCACTGCGCTCACAGCTGACTCAGGGCAGCTCCTGCACAGCATCGCCAGCCACCACCACTTCTGGTTGGCTTGAAGTCTGCGACAGCACGGCCTGGTTTTCCCCACAGCCACTACTCTGATAAGCCCTTTGGATAAAGCTGGTCTATTTTAATAGCTAGCAGACCTTTTGACTTTGAGACTCGGCATTGTCCTATGCAAAGTTCACACGCACGAACCATGCAGTTGAGCTTCCAAACAAACAAAAGCATCTCACAGTGTTTTAAGAACGTTCATGATTTGGTGTTGGGACTAGATTCGGAGCTACCCTTGACCACGAGCAGCCCAAGAGTAACAGGTTGAACACGCCCCAATGTATTCCGGCGTGAGATCATCTCGTGTCCAATCCCAGGGAAGAGATGAGAGGACACAGGATTTCTTGAAAACTTTTCAGTTTCAGAAACATTTGTCATGGTAACTTATTTAGTGTATAATTTATTGTCTTGTGTTTCTAAAAAGTTTTTTTTTAAATAGGTGTTTTGTTCCAAAGCAGGTCTGACACACATTACCATACAGTCTCCGTCAAGCATCCCCTGAAAGGAATGATAATTCTCTTTTCACAACCAGTCGTGTTAATTGGCTTCAAATGCCTGCCCCTGCTGGAAGACCATCAGCTCACCTTCAGGGAGAGGCTTGCCTCACACACCTCAGAAAGAGACTTCCTTCTAGTGTCACTGAACCCTGGAAACACCCTGCTCACAACAAAAATCACCACTGTATATTATCTGTGACAATGTCTGCCTCAAGGAGCGGAGTGGAGCCAAGCACCCAGCCTTACAGCACACAGAAATAGATCTATAAATATTCAGTGAGTCAGTTAGTCAATCAACACACCTTAGCTTCCCAACACATAGTTTCCAGGCCAGCACCAACACACACACATGCACACACAGTACCTGGAGCCTTTAGAGGTGACAGGATGCTCCAGTCAGAAGCCTGAGTTCTTCCGCCTAAAGTTTTGGTGTAATCTTGCCCAACAGTGTGTCCAGACACCAAAGTACCATTCAAGGGCAAAATTCTCAAAGATGCTCCTGAGTGCACAGTCACATCTGTATTCACCCACATCTATTTTCACCCACATCTGTATCCGCCCACATCTGTATTCACCACAGGATCCCACTATCTACCTCACCCAGCATCCTCCACGGAAGAGGGAGTGCTGTACACAGCTCAGGGCGATCTGTTCAATGATTTCATGTATTGTCAACCAAAATTTTGTTCCAATTAACAAAGCTTTCCATGGGAAAGTTCAAACACCCTTTTTGCAGTAGGGCAGGACTATGGTTGGACTAACCAAATGTGATGCTTACTTTATGAAGTTAATGATCAAAAAACCAGAATTCTGTCAGCCTTGGGTGTCTACCATGCACACACAAACATACACACATACACACACACACACACACACACACACACACACACACAATCACTTGGCCCACACCCAAAAGCAACACATGCCTTTTGTGTATTTTGAAGAAAGATAGCCGCCAACAAGAGCGTCTACAGGCCAAGCAAACTGGCCTGACTACAGAAGGGGTTTTTGGTCTGGACTTAACCTGTTCAAATGAACCGTTGGGAAACACGATTAGAGAGTAGGTGAGAACTCAGTATCATAACACCAAAACTAGAAAGCTACAGCCCAGACTCTAACAGTGTTCTCTGTGGCCCTGATTTTAGAAAGGGCATGGAATGTGAACCTGACTAGTCCAGCCATTCTTTCATAAAGGAAGCATGAGGAGGTTGAGGAGGTGAGAGCAGACTGTGCAGAGACAGTGGTTAAACAGATTTCCCTAGGGAAACCTCTATGGAGATGATGCCCAGGACTTTAGGACTGGCCCCGAAGCCACAAAGAAGAAACTTCTTGCCTGCATAAACCAGAGTCCTGCCCAGCTGAGGGTGGTCAGCTGCTCAGCTCTGGCCTGCAGTCAAGCGGCTCCTGAACCAGAGGCGCTTTATCACTGATGTACGGACACACAGACGATGCTCTGAATCAAGAGATGGAGGAAAGTCAGCGTTTTAAATACATTCATTATTTGTGCTTCTCATGATAGAGACCTCAGAAACCTCTTCCTTGTTATCTTTTAACTAGTGCCAGGTTTAATCTTGGCTTGACAGTGGAGACAAGAAGGAGAGTGAAGTTCTGGATATTCCAGAAAGTCCCCTAAGCCCTCTCTCTTCCAGTCGCTGGGGTGTCCAGAGAGAGGGTCACTGTGCAGTCTGGGGCAGGCCAGGAAACTTGAGCCAAGATGAGGCGTCGGCGGCCTGCAGCTGACCCCTAAGTATACTCCTCCCCACATCTCTACAGAGGGGTCAACAGGGATGGGTGCAGGAGAACCGGCAGCTCCTTCTCCAGCTAGCTACTCACCCTCCTACTGGGCGTCCCAGGAGACTTGGCGCTGCCACCTGACAGCAGGGTGACGGTGGACGTGGAGCGCAGCATCTCGCAGCGGCTGTGGAACGAGGGCTGGGTGCTCGCGCTGCTCCGGGGCAGGATAAGCGTGCGGGGCGCACCCTGCGCGGGGGAGGCTCAGACACTAGAGGCTGTAGCTTCCGCAGGGCTGGAGCCAGGGGGGCGGGGTTTGGGAGCAGCCTGGAAGGGGGCGGAGCCAAAGAGTGCTAGCTAGACCCGTCTGGCCTCATTCTCTCCTCAAAGTTGAGCGTTCTCCTCTCCGAATCACCCCGTCCAGTCTTACTGCACACCCTGTAGGTTCAACTCTCTGACGCCTGTCCATTAAACCCCAGTGTTTTCTGTCAAACCCAGAGGACCACTGGGACCCTTGCTCTGTGTCATTTATTCGGTAACTACTGAGTGCCTATTATTTGTGTCTCCTAGTAAATGACCGACCCCTGTCTTCACAGAATTTCACCCTGATAGGGACCCTGAGAGACGACAGCTGTCATTGCTATGGTAGAAGACAGACAGGTGTTCTGGGAGCGTGCAACCGTCCTCAAGTCCTCAGAAGGAGACTCCCAGAGGAAGTGACTAAGTTTGAAGACCAGAAATGCAAGTCGCAGAAAGCCAGACATAGGCTGTCCATCACGTTTATTCAGTGATTACTGTGTGTCCACCTGGGAGGGCTAAGCACCCATTGCGTCAACCAATCTTCACGACCACGCTTTGGGGTAGGTGTCATTATTATCCTGCACCCCATTTTGCAGATGAGGACATTGACTCATCGAGGGTTGAGCAAGGCAGCAGGAGCCCCAGGGACTGCTGGGTGGTCAAGCCAAGAGGTGACCTACTCTGATCAACCCCTAGGGGCTTGCCAGAGCACTCTGCTGCCCCCTAGCAAAGACAAGAGCAAGGTGAAGTCAGACCTGCCACCCTAGGAGACCTGTCACAGTGCTAGGAGCTAAAGGTGGAGAGGAGCTAAAGAGCTGGGACCTAGTCAGTAAGAACCTGGTGAGCACACTTTGACTTTTACCAGCAGGCCAAAGTGCTTCGGGGAGAGGGAAGACACTGTATCTCCATTCACCTTTCAACGCCCAGGCAAAGGAGAGAGACAGAGAAAGACAGAGAGACAGAGAGACAGACAGAGGAGAAACACACACACACACACACACACACACACAGAGAGAGAGAGAGAGAGAGAGAGAGAGAGAGAGAGAGAGAACATGTGTACACACACTCCCAGAATAGCACCCGCAGGGAAGATGGCCAAAGAAGGCTGCCAACCAGACTTCCTCGCGATCCTGTGAAACTCGGTCACTTATAGATGAGGAAACAATAGGCATGTTTTCTGCAAGTCTGAATGTAAGTGACTTTTCAAAGTCCAGGAGCTCTTCCGTGCCACCCTTCCTGATGCTCTCTACCAACGTCACCACCACTGTGTGTGTGTCTTGTTTTGTTTTCTAAGATTTCCTTTTTATTTTTAATTATGTGTTTGTTTAGGTGAGTGCAGCTATCCCCAGAGGCATCCAATCCCTTGAAGCTGGTTACCTCGGTTGTAAGCCACCCAACATGGGTGCTTGGAGCTGAACTCTGTCCTCCGCAGGGGCAGTAGACTCTCTTAGTGCTGAGCCATCTCCAGCCGTGTCTGTGCTCTGTGGGCTCTAAATCCACTTTCTCCTCAGGCCGCACCTCGACCCCACCAGGTGCACCCTGTTAACACTGTTGTTTTGTAAAGGAGAAAACTAAAGCCAGACACACGGGTCAATAGCCGTACCAATTGCTTTTTACTCCACTTCTTTCATCCTCCGTGTACCTGTCTCTTTCAAAAAGCCAACTCATGAGGCTTCCTTCTATCCTCCCCACAGTCCTCCGTTCCTAGTATTGACATTTGTAAGTCTAAACTCTAAGTCTACCCTTCAGTAAGTCGTGATCAAAGTGTGGCTATTGGGGCCGGAGAGCTGGCTCAGCAGCTACAAGTACTTGCAGAGGACCAGGACTTGATTCCCAGGACTCGCATGGTGGTGGCTAGCAGCAGTCTGTGACTCCCGTTCCAGGTGATCTGACACCCTCTTTTGGCCTCCAGGGGCAGCAGGTGCACACGTGGTACACATACCTACATGTCAGTAATATATTCATATACGTAAAAAATTAAATAAACAAACCTTTAAAAGGTAGTTGTTCAAAGCTCCTGGGAGTTAGTCTGCATCAGCGTGGTTACCTCAGTTGAAAGAAGCTAATGGTTAATGTTTTTTTGTTGTTGTTATTTTTGCCCCAAGGAGATAGGAAACGCGCCATTTTTGCAGACACAGTCAAAACAACCTGGCATCAGTAATGTTTACTTCTATCATGGCAACCACCCAAGTGACCATCCAAGCTAGGCTCAGCGTGGAGAGAGAGGGAATTTGCATGTCTACAGTTTGTAAATTGTGCTGGTTAGGTTGTTTCTTGTTTGTTTCGTCAACTTGACGTAGCTAGAGTCCTCTGGTAAGAGGGACCCTCACCCGAAAACATGCTTCCACGATATTGGCCCATATGCAAGTACACAGGGCATTTTGTTATCTTGATATGCAAGGGGCGAGCTCACTGTGGGTGTAGTCAGCCCTGGGCAGGCGCATAAGAAAGCAGGCTGAGCAAGCCCTACAGAACAAGTCAATAAGTAGCATTCTGCCGTGGTGTGTGCTTCAGTTCCTGCCTCCTGGTTCCTGCTCTGTTCTCCCTCAGTGAACAGTAAGTGGTATGCTTGAACAAACCATTTCATCCCCCAGATTGCTTTCGGTTATGGTGTCTTACCACCGTGACAGAACCCTAACTAAGTCACCCATCCACCCAGGTCTTTTCCACTGTAATATAATGGTTCGGTTAGTAACAAAGCGGCAAACTGCTCACCAACTTGTGACTCGGGTTACGAACTCGATTCTGTTCACATCCCTGCCCCACAGCCAAAATACATCACTGGAATGTGCTAAGTGCTCAGTAATTTTGAATGGGTGGGAAAACATTACAGAGCAACATGAGAATTTATTCGTGATCAATCCAAACAGACAAGATCCTTGCCAGGCCAACTTCAAAGGTGGCCCAGGGTCTCCCAGCAAGTTGTCACTGTAAGTAGCCAAAGCCCCAGGATGGTCCCAGCCAGGGTGACTGCCAGCATCACAGAATGTTGTGGATAGTGATAAGGCAGGCACAGGCTGACCAACATGAGAAAGATGAGACCACAGGAAATGGTCTCTTTTTCTCCCAGAAAGAGAGAAAGAGGAGGAAGGAGGAAAGTGGGAGGTGACCTAAATCACTGGAAAGATGGGTACAGGCTTGGGTGAGGGGATAAAAATCAAAGCCGGGTTTCTGTAAATAGTTCTGGAAGAAGATGTACAGATGAAGACTAACCCCTTTCACGCAAGGAACTGGGGCTCGAGAGACGGCTCAGCCGCTAAGCACATACTGCTCTTGTAGAGGACGCACTTTAGGTCCGAGCACCCTAGTAGGACAGCTCAAGGGGATCTGATGCCCTCTTCTGGGCTCCACAGGCACCTGCTATCACACACACACACACACACACACACACACACACACACACTTAAAAATAAAATAAATCTTTTAAAATAAAAAGAGGAACCAAAGGCTGAGGACTCTAAGGTCTATAAAAGGGACAAGGCTCTCTCTGGTGCAGGAGCCATCAAGCAACCTTCCAACATGCTGGGGTCTCCCTATCCCTTCCCTGCACATTGACGGTGGGTGGATGTCATTATCTGTACTGGGAGGGAGCAGGAGTTCTGACAATACTGTCTTTTAGCTGCCGTTGTTTTCCCTCCATGGTAGTAGCCATATGTGCCTAAGTCCTGCCCTAACTGCCTCTGCTGACGCACGGGTGTGCAGAAAATTCTAGATGCTTGCATAAATGACTTTCCTTTTCTTGGAATCAGTTTCTTAATTGAATCGCCTTCTCTCATAACCTCCAGGCCTCTGCTTGGTGAAGCCTTAGGGTGGGTTCTGTTTCTCTAGCAAAATCTTAAGAAGAAAAGATTGTCTTTGGAGAGACCAAGAACTGAATCACTCACCAGACACCAGAGCACACAACAGGGGAGTCCAGGGCATGTGAGGCCTGCTGGTATTTGTGCCTCTCTGCTTTTGAGTCCCTGAAGAATGCCTTTCTTCCTTTTATTGGACTGTGACAACATCCCAAAGTCCTGGCACATTCTTCTCTTCTGAATGCCACAGAGACCAAATGTTCACAATGGGAAAGGACACATTTCTAGCCCTGGGCAAGAGTGCTGAATTACAAAGCCCCTTTACATAAGTAGAATAAGTGACAGCCATATTGACGGTTCTCTTAGAAGCAGGGAGCAGGGCCCAGTGATAAGGAAGGCAGACTGAGAGGAACCCAATCCCCAGACAACTGGCTCCCTCAGATCCTCAGCCTTTATAAGCCTGTCTAGACATGGGCTAGACCTGCTGCTGACCCACTCTAGGGGACAGAAACTCATTGAAGCAATTCTGTGACCTCACAGCTAGCCCCGTAAACAAATGGCGCATTCATTGAGCTAATGTGCACTGTTTGAGTTTGAGTGTGCAATGTCCCCCATGGGCCGCCGTGTCTGCATCTTGGTCCCCAGGCAATGGCTTTGCTTTTATGAGACTGTGTAACCTTTAGGAAGCGGGGTCTGGCTGAAGGAAGTGGATCACGACAGGCAGGCCTTTGAGCACTATAGCCTGACCAGACTTCTGGTCCCATTCTTTTGCTTCCTTTTTGGCCAAGCTGTGAACAGCTGCTCTGCCACATGCTCCTTCCAACGTAGACTAAGTCACTCCTGTCGCCATGCTTTCTGTGCCTTGATGGACAGAAATCCCCTGAAACTGTAAACCAAAGTGAGCCCCTTCTCCCTTAAGTTGCTTCAGTCTCAGGAACGAGAGAAGTGACTGATCAAATAGTAGTTACTGGACCCTGAACATACAGAGACAGAAGAGCAGCCCCTACTTCCTAGGATTTCCTTAAATGACTGGGTAGAGAACACTTAGGAAACAAATGTTGGCTAGGACTTGCACAGTACTACATGAAGAGAAACATATTGATGCATTGGATACTTTTGAACATGGCATGGTAAGGAAGATGCTACTATGTCCTTTCTCTGCAGATGAAGA